ATCCAGGTCTCCTACTCCTCCGCCATCTTGCTCCGCCTCCCGATCTTATCTATTTTTTAATCTCTATTTAACTTATACTGTGATCTTTATCATTTCCTTTACTGATTTTGGGCTTTGCGCCCCCCCCCTTCCCCCCCCTCCTTTAGGTGTAAGGTTAGATTGTTTTAGATTTTTATTTTATGAGCTAGGCCTGTATTGCTGTAAAGTTTCTTCATAGAACTGCTTTTGTTGTGTCTCAAATATTTGGGACCACTGTTTCCATTTTTTTTTTTCTGCAGGTATTTTATTTATTTGATTTCTTCATTAGCACATTGGTTATTTAGCAGCACATTGTTTAGCCTCTACGTGTTTGCATTTTTGCATTTTCTTCTTGTAACTGATTTCTCATTTCATAAGTTTCTACAGATCACATGTTAGGCCATAAAACAAGTTTCAATAAATTTAAGATTGAAATCATATCGAGCATTTTTTCGGATGAATGTTCCATGCACATTTGAAAGGAATACACATTCTGCTGTTTATGGATAAAATGTCCTGTATATATCTGTTAAGTCTGTCTGGTCTAATGTATCATTCAAAGCCCCTGTTTCTTTATTGAATTTTCTGTCTGAATTCTATATCCACTGATGTAAGGGGGGGGCCGGGGGGGGCCCCATCTAGTATTGTTATGGTCAATTTCTCCATCTGTTAATTTTCATTTTATGGATTTAGGTGATCCTATATTAGGTGCATAGATATTTATTACATCCTTTTGTTAGAGTAATCTTTTTATCATCATGTAATACCCTTCTTTCTCTCTGGCTACAGTTTTCAAGTCTATTTTGTCTGATATAAGTAGTGCTACCACAACTTTCTTTTTTTATCTTTTTGCTTCCATTTGCATGGAATATCTTTTTCCAGCCCTTACAGCTTCAGTCTGTATATGTCTTTAGGTCTGAAGGGAGTCTCATGTAGGCAGCATATAGATGGATCTTGTTTTTTTGTTGTTGTTGTTTTAATGACTGTCATACTATATCTTTTAATTGGGGCATTTAGACAATTTACGCTTAGAGTGACTATTGATAGGGGTATGTGTGTGTGCGCATATACATACATTTTACTGGGTATTTTTTTGTTTTTGTAGTTCTGTTCCTTTCTTGTCCTCATGTTTTGATAGCTTTCTTTAGTGTTACGCTTGGATTACTTTCTCATTTTTTGTGTATCAATAAGTTTTTGATTTATGATTACCACAGGGTTCATATATAATATCCTATGTGTGTAGCAATCTATATTAAGTTTATGGTTACTAAAAAAAAAAAGTTGATGGTTACTTAAATTTAAGCACATTCTAAAAGCACTACATTTTTACTGTTCCCTCCACGTTTTATGTATATGATGTCATTTTACTTCTTTTTTACTTTTTATATCCCTTGATTAGCTTTTGTAGATATAATTGATTTTACTACTTTTATGTTTTAATCTCCATACTAGCTTTATAAATAATTCTGCATTTACTGTTTGCTTTTACCAGTGAATTTTTTTCCTTTCATAATTTTCTTCTAGTTATGGCCTTTTCTTTCCATTTAAAAAATTCCCCTCAACATTTCTTGAAAGGCCAGTTTAGTGATGATGAACTCCTTAAGCTATATTTTTGTCTGGAAAACTCTTTATCTCTCCTTTTTTTTTTTTTTTTTTTTTTATTTTATTTATTTGAGAGAGAGAATGAGAGATAGAAAGCACGAGAGGGAAGAGGGTCAGAGGGAGAAGCAGACTCCCTGCTGAGCAGGAAGCCCGATGTGGGACTCGATCCCGGGACTCCAGGATCATGACCTGAGCCGAAGGCAGTCGCTTAACCAACTGAGCCACCCAGGCGCCCTTTATCTCTCCTTTTAATCCGAGTCTTGAAGGGCAGAGTATTGTTTGTTGTACATTTCTTCCTTTCAGCACTTTGAATATGTCATGCCATTCTCTTCTGGCCTGCAAAGTTTCTGTTGAAAAATCAGCTCATAGCCTTATGGGATTTCTCTTGTACATCACCGGCTTCTTTTCTCTTGCTGCTTTTAAGATTCTGTGTTTATCTTTGATTTTTGCTTTTTAAATTGTTATGTGTCTTGGTATGGACCTCCTTGGGTTCATCTTGTTTGGGGCTTATCTGTTTTGAATCCGGATGTCTGTTACCTTCCCTCAGATTAGGGAAGTTTTAAGTTATTATTTAAGTTTTCTGCCCCCTTTCTCTCTCTCTCTCTCTCTCTCTCTTTCTCTCTCTCCCCCCTCCCTTGGGATCCCTATGATGTGAATGTTATTATGCTTGGTGATGTCACAGGCCTCAAAGTATGTATGCATGTATGTATTTTGCTGTTCAACATGGTTGCTTTGCATCAGCGATCCATTCTGCATCCTCTAACTTGCTGCTGAATCCCTCTGCTGTATATTTTATTTCACTTATGTATTCTTTAGCTTCTGACTGGTTACTTATATTTTCTACCTCTTTGTTGAAGTTCTTACTGAGTTTACCAACTCTTCTTTCAAGTCCAGTGAGTATTTTTATGACCATTACTTTGAACTCTTTATCAGGCATATTGCTTAACTTTGTTTCATTTCTCTCTCTCTATGTGATTTTTTTTTTCTAATTCTTCATTTGGAACACTTTCCTCTATTTCTTCATTTTGTTTATCTTTCCGTGTGTTTTTTTTTTTTTTTTTCCTGTGTATCAGGTAGGTCAGCTCTGTCTCTTCGTCTTAGAAGTAGTGGCTTTATATAGAAGAATTTCTCTGGTGTGCTGTAGCATAATCTCCTTTGGTCACCATCTCCAGGCCCCCCATGGGTTTCCCCTGTGTAAGCTACATGTACCATCCTGTTATGGCTGAGCCATAATTGCCATAGGCATGCTGGTGAGTTAAGCTGGCCCTCAGCCCAAACTGCTGTAATGACCCACTTTGTTTATTGTGGGAGCACTGGTGGGCCTAGGTGTGCTCCTTATGCTGCTAGAAGACTCAGCTACAGACCCACTGGAGGGTGGGACCAGCCCTCAGCCCACCTGTCTGCTTTTAGCCACTGCAATAGCTGTGGGAGCATCAAAGATCAGGGCTCATTCTCTACACAGGCAACTGAGAGGCCCAGCTGCCGGAACTGTGGGATGCTAGTGTGTGGGCTTAGTTTCCACCCTCTTCAGTTCATGAGGGGCTGCCCACTGAGTGTAACAAGGTGCTTTGGAGGGATGCCTCCTGGGGCAAGTGGATTGGGTGATACAGGTCTGCAGGGGAATGCTGGCTCCAGCGAGCATTTGGCTATGTAGGCTAGGGAGGGTAAGAAAAATGGCACCTACCAGCACTTTCATTCCTATAGAAAGCTCCTGCCCCACCGCAGCACACATCCTGAAATTAATAATAAATCTCCTTCACATATACCCCAGACACTTCTCAAACTGCTGCTCCTGTACTATGTCTCAGGCTGAGTTATCTAGTGGCTAGCTCTTTAAGGGATGGGATTCCATTTCCTATTGCCCTCTGGCTCTCCTGGAGTTAAATCCTGCTGATTTTCAAAGCCCGATGCTACAGGGACTGGTCTTCCCAGTGCAGGTCTCCAAGACCAGGGATGCCTAGTATGGAGTCTGATTCTTTTGTTCCTCTGTGCTTGTGATGTCCTTCCCATTTGTGGTCAGTTATGCCAGGGGTTTGGTTTCCAACTGCAGCTGCACCCCTCCTACCCTTTCTGATGTGACTTTCTCTCTACAACTAGCTGTAGAAGATCTCTTCTGCCAGTCTTCAGATGGTTTTTGGAGTCAGTTGTTGTACATATAGTTGTTGCCTCATTGTGTTCGTGGGACGAGATGAGCTCAGGATCCTCCTAATCTACTATTGTTCCTCTCTCAAGAATCAGGTCATTTATATATTTTTCCACTTAAGCGACTATATCTTTTTTGTCATCTACCTGCATTGTTGGGAATTGTGATATAAGTTTAGGAACTTAAATTAATGCAAATTGTTATATCACGTTTATAAATGGCTCAAAAAATAATAATCTGGCATTATCTTCTAGAAATTGTGGTCCAGGAAATAGGGAAACCATAGAAGTGTTAAGAGGACTCAAGTTGTCTTGAGTCTAAGAACTTTCTTCAGTGTAAAAGTTGGGCATGGATGATGGCTGCCATGGCAGAGAGAAGGGCTCTGTCTTTTCCATAGACTGAGCTTTCAGTGGGTTCATGATTTATTTGTATGTTCTCCACAGGGTTTAGCAAAGTTCTTCGCATACAGTAGGTCCTTAGTAAACATTTGCTGAATACATGAGAAAGGGGCAATAGGTAAATGGATACACCATTGTTATAATGAAAGTCATTTGCTTTTTCTGAAATTCACTTTAATTCCAGTATAGCAGAAACATCGCTTTTATGAGTGAGATGGCTTTGTGTTGACCACTGAATTTCCTGTGATAAAGTTGAAAACATCCACAGAAATTGCTAGTTTGTAGAACTTTAATCAAGATGGTTTGGCTGAAACAGATCTGAGAAACCACCAAAGAAACTTTCTAACTCAGTAGCTTATCTGAGACATTTTCACATTACCCAATTATTGGATTTTCAGGCATAAAATTTAAGTTTAAATAAAAACCTGTACATTTTGAGAGTAGGCAGCTGAAATTAAGAGTTGCTTAGACTTTTAGATCTGACTCAAGGTGAAAATTGGTTAAAATTGATATGAAAATAATTTCTAAGTATAAAATCCTTCCTGTAAAACCCAAGATGATTGGTACTCTTTGCTCCAAGAAATGAAAGACGAAAGTGGTTAATGTCAATTTTCTCAAAGTAAGAATGTCTTTTAGATGGATAAATTGTGAACACAGCAAGCAGCAGCACAATAGACTTACTGTTACATGGTAAAATCTCAATGGAGGTAAAGTTCTTCATCATTTCTACACCCATGTTTGACCTTCAGAGAATGGGAAAATAAATTAGCATGGTATCTGCTCAGATAGTAAAGTAAAAATCACTAGCAGGGGATGTGGGGTGGGGCATGAGGTGCTACCAAGGGATGGAGGGAGAGATTAAGCCACTCTTAACCCTCTGCAAATGTTTGTTTTTTCTTTACCTTGATATATTTAAGATATTCTGAGAAAGTAAATGGGTCAGGATTCTGGAAAACTGTTCTAGTAATAGCAGGGATCCAAAGATCCAGAAAGAGACATGTGCAACTAATCCAACATGTCTTTGGTTTTTATCTCCTAAAAGATTTTCTACTGCAAGCCAGTCTTTCTGTCTTTACCACCTGTGGTAATTCAGGCCTTCATCAACATTCTCCTAGGCCAGTACTTCTTAAACTTGAGAGTACATCAGAATTATCTGGAGAGCTTATTACAACTGAGATTGCTGAACTTCCTCCCCAGAGTTTCTGATTCAATAGTTCTGGGGCACTTGAAGAGCTATCTCTACCCCCCATATTCAAAGCATCATTAATTCACAATAGCCATGTTATGGAAACATCCTAAGTGTCCATTGATGGATGAATGAATAAAGAAAATATGGTTTATATATACAATGAAATATTATTCAGCCTTAAAAAAAAAAAAGAAATCCTGTCATTTGCAATAACATGGATGAGCCTGGAGGACATTATGCTAAGTGAAAACAAGCCAGATACAGATTTAGATAAGCTAGATACAGAAAGACAAATATGCATGATTTCACTTATATGTGAAATCTAAGCAAGTCAAACTCATGGAAACAGAATGGTGGGGACACCTGAGTGGCACAGTCGATCAAGTGTTGGCTCAGGTGGTGATCTCAGGGTCATGAGATCAAACACCGCCTGGGGTTCTGCACTCATAGAATGGTCGTTGTCAGGGGTTTAGGGGAGGGGAAAATGGGGAGATGTTGGTTAAGGGGTATAAACTTACAGTTATAAGATGACTAAGCTCTGGGATCTAATGTACAGCCTGGTAACTATAGCTAATGTAGGCTTGAAATTGGCTGAGAAAGCAGATCTTAAGTGTTCTTACAACACCCAGGGGCACCTGGCTGGCTCAGTTGGTAGAGCATGCGACTCTTGATCTCAGGATTGTAAATTTGAGCCCCATGTTAGGTGTAGAGATCACTTAAAAATTAAAAATTAAAAAACACAAAAATGCTGATTATGTGAGGTGATGGATATATTATTCAGCTTGATTATGGTACCCATTTTACAATGTACATGTATATCAAAATATACTGTATACCTTATTGTGTATAATTTTATTGGTCAATCACACCTCAAAAAAGCTGGAAAAAATAGTTCTGGGCTGAGGTCCAAGAATTTGGATTTCTAACAAACTTTCAAGCAAAGCTGAGGCTGCTGATCCAAGGATATTACTTTGAGACCCTTGCCCTAAATTACTATATTCCTGCTCCTTTAGTTTATCCCGCCTAAAAACATCCTCTGTGCTGCCCATTTTATTCCCCTAGACAAAATACTTCCGTGACTTTCCATTATCAACCTACAGTATTAGGACCAAGCTCCCTTGCTGGCTTACAACCTCCTATGAGCATTCACTTCTCCAGCCTCCTCTTCATGAACTCTACCTTCACAAGACCCCCAGAGGCTATTTTCTGTACTTTATCATCTCCTTGTGTGTAGGACTTAAGTCATTTATTCATTATCATGTTTTAATTGTCTAGCACTGTGAGCTTAACCTCAAGATATGGGTCTTACCAATTAAGATGGTGACTATATCTGGTCAACTGAATTCATTCCATCAACATAAGATCCATCTAGGGAAAGGAAGGGCTTCCAGAGCCAGAGAAAGGATTGATTTTTTTTTTTTCTCAAGTGAGAATAATACTCCCCTCATCGAGGGCACCAGGGGACTGCCAAAGTGAGGGACCAGGGTGTCTGGACAGTGACAGCTAGGTGAAGTGAGGGAGTCATGGGGACAGGGCTATAGCCCCTTTACTTGAGAATAAAGTAGATTGGGATTCCAGGTCCAACTCTGCCACTTGCTTGGTGTAACTTACATTGGCCAAGCTATTTAGTATGTCTGTGTTTAAATTTCCACATATGTGAAATGAGTATAATAGTCATTCCAGAGTGTTTTTATTGAGGATCTTATCAGACCTCTCTCTGGCACAAGGTTAAAATTTGTCTCAGTGGGGAACTTGAACTTCTGAAATTTGAAACATTCTCCTGTATCTATCCCAGGTAAGGTTGAAATTGACAAAAGAGACCAATCACCTGGCTACCTTGTAAATTTGAATATCAAAGCCAAACTTTGGGACATTAAAAATAGGATTAAAAATAGGTACTCATGGTATAGAAAGGCATTCATTTCAATGTGTCTTGTCTTAGTATTAACCATGCATGTGTGTGTGTGTATATATATACACACACACATACATACATATTACATTTCAGAAGGGGATCTGTAATAGACCGTGATGGAAAATGAAAGATGTATCAACTGTGTTTCCTGTATGAAGTCTTCCTGTATGGCAACCCCTGGTTTATTTTCCCACCATGATTATCAATAAAACCCTTAAAATTAAAAAAAAAAATTTTTTTTTAACTTTGAGGAAGTGAGTATTTGAGGAGGTAGCTTCTAATTGAGGAGGTAGCCAGGCTTGAGAGAGAGAATACTAGTGAGAAAATGTATTTACTATGTTAACAAATGAAAGAGAAACAGGCTTAGTCCTTGGACTTGTAGGAAGGAATGAGGTCATAGAACCTAACTTGGGCCTAAGAATGGGGCTTAGAGTTTAATGATAGAATGATCTGCAAGAGTTTTTGGATATGGAATTAACCATGAAGCCAACCATTCCTTGTGTATGCACTAAATCACCTGTGAGGAAACTTACATCTCTACTTATATGCAGTGGGAGAAAAAACTGGACAGTTTGAATAAAGCAGGGAATCCAGAAGTAAATGTGTCTATTAGAAAGTAAAACAGGGTCAGGCATATTATTTTCATAAATACAGCCCACTTTAGAAGCATAATTGGACCCAACATACATGCAGTGTGCCAGTCCAGGAATTTAGGATTTTCTATGAACAGGCAGGAAAGTGTGTAAGGAGAACTCCCCAAATCCAGGCTGCAATGATGATCATCTCAAGAGGGAGCCATATGTGGCCAACAGGGAAAAAAATGAATCAGCATGGGTAGACTCTTCCCGTAGATTTAAGACATGGCCTTCAAAATGGGAAGGCCTCTATGTCTCCATGATTAGGTCTCCTTTAGTTATTAGTAAAATATATATTTTTTTAAAGTCCAGCCTCTTCTGTCTGAGCCATAGGATAAAGAGATTATTCCATACCTTGATCAGGAAAACAAGTGAAGGTGACATAGGGGTGAAAGGGAAATCTTACAGAGATGTAGGGTCAGTTTTGCCCTGTGCCCTGCCCTTGTATCATCATAATGTTTAAAATGGATTTGAATTTGAATTTCCAGGATACTATGTTATCCTACTTGCCTTTCTAAACCCACATCACAAAAACAAGGCCTCTCTATAGCAGCAATTACCAAACTATGGAACCAAAATCTCTTAAAATGATCCATTAAGTAACTGTTCCACGGTCAAATAATTGTGAAGTTCTGCATTCTAGCCCCACTTGAAGGGATAGATACTACAGTTAATGAAAAGGCGCTGTAAATAAACCTATTTAATTATTTTCCCAGATTGTATTTCACTTATTTTTCCATTCAACAGTTGAGAATCTTCCAGGCAGCAGATATCACACTAGGCTAGGAGACAAAATGGTGGCCCTCAATGGCTTCCTATTATATATAGATGGCCTCTAAACAATGCCTATTCCTCTGACCTTCTCTCTCCCTCATTCATTGCATGTCAACCTCAGTGATTCCCTTCACAGTTCCTGGAACATTCCAGCATGCTCTTGCTTTAGTTCATATACCCTCTCTTAAGATTGGTATTTTCCCCAAAATTCACCTGGCTCACTTCCTCACTTCATAGCAGGTGCTATTCAAATGTCCCATTGTCAGGTTGGTATTCAAGGCAGGCCTTACCTGGCCTCTTTTAAAACCGCATTCATTAGGGGTGCCTGGGTGGCTCAGTCAGTTAAGTGTCTCTCGATTTCAGATCAGGTCATGATCTCAGGGTGGTGAGGTCGAGCCCCGTGTCAGGCTCCGTGCTGAGTGTGGAGTCTGCTTAAGATTCTCTTTCTCCCTCCCTCGGGCCCTCCTTCCTACCCCTACATGCACATGCTCTCTTCCTCCCTCTCTCTAAAAAAAAAAAAAAAAAAAAAAAAAAGAAAATAACATTCACCATTACTTTAAAATTCTTTATCCTGGAACTTTGTTACAAACCTGTTGTCTTTTTATCCCACTAGAATGTTGAATTCCAAACAGCTAGAACTATGCCTGGAATGTAGAAAGTCCTAACTATTGATAAGTTGAATAAATAAATGTTGAAAATAGTTATGGTTTTTGCCTCACAGAGCTCAGAAGATTAAAAAATATTTGAAATTTAGTAGTATAATGAGTGTTATCACTGGGGGGAAGAAACAGAATATAATGAAAGAATATGGGACTAGCACTTTACCCTAACATGGAAGAAATGACAATTAAGCCAAGGCTTGTAAAGTGCCAGAGTTGAGAGACAGCATGGTCTGTTTGTGAAATAAAAGTTGAGTTTGCCTGACAGAGCAAGGCAGTATAAGGGTGGGACAACAGGCTTCTGAGCTGGGCAAGTCCTTGTAAACAGTAAAGAGTCTGGATTTCATCCTTAGAGCAATGAGATCATATAAAGGGTTTTAAGCAAGGAAAAGTAAAAGTCATCTAGATTTTGGAAACTTTAGTCCGGGTGCAGTGTGGAGGGTAGATTGAAAGCTATCTGGGAGGTACAATTCATAGGGTTTGGTGATTTATTAATGTACAGGGTCAAGTAACTAAAGAATGATACCGTTCACCCCCTCCTTTTTTTTTTTTTTTTTTTTTTT